TAATCAAATATCTCATTGAAATTTGATAAACACATTCAGGACACAATTCTACATTTTAGGTTCAAGTGCAAATTCACCTGCCCTCCCAATGCCTATTTTCAGAGAAAAGGAAATTACAAATTGTATCACACTGAAAATGTATTTGCATGGATCTACCTCAGTTAAGGTTAGTGTACAGAATACTATCTTTCAGGTTTAAACCTGTGCTTAACATCCACACTCTTGTTTTCAAGGAGAGGGAAAAAGCCGCACAGCACCCTGCAAGGTGAGATCTCCTGTGGACACTGAGCTATCTGAATATAAATTTCTGTGTATGCCTGCCATAATTTTCCATTTAAAATTGGAATGCTAGCTTGACCCCTGCACCTCTTTTTAAAGGGAGTGTGAAAGATGCAAAATACCGTACATTGTTGTAGGATTACCTGGGACATCTCCGAGCATTGTGTTTTTACTAGTAAAGATCTTCAGTAAATAAGATGGAATGTGCTGTAGTCACTCACGCAATTAGGGGATGAAAATGTGTATATAGTTATCTTTAAAAGCACATTCCATCAGTCTCACCAGCCCAGAGCTGAAGAGCAACGAATCCTTACTCTGTCCTGAAGGGGAGCGTGGGCAAAGTGACACATTTAAGACATCATTTGCCCTCTCTCTTTCAAATGACAGGGCACCACCCATCTAATAAAGGGATGTCAGTTCAAATTATTAAGTGATCTGTCTTTGCCTTCCTTCCCCCCACACCCACCTTTTGCCAGCTGAGGAATTCGTTCCTCATCAAGTTGCATTAATATCTTGCTCTCTCCTCAATCTAGCTGTACATCCCTTGTTGTAAAGAGCTGGGCAGTTTTGGGGTGAAAGGGGGACCCTCCCCTGGAGTGATTTCCTCCGGTATTTCAGTCCCCATAATCCCTTCTGGGACTGGTGCATCATACAATTGAATGGGCAGCTTATTTAATTTTAAGACACATGGGTTACTTTTGCTTTGTATTTCAGGGGTGGTGGTTGCTATATGTTGTCACTAGATCCCAGACATCCATCTGTCTGTCTGCCTGTCTGTCTGTCTGTCCGTCCATCCATCCGTCCGTCCATCCATCCATCCATCCATCCATGGCAACTGGGGCTGCTCACATTATTTATTGTTTATTAAATTGATTGGACTTGTCACAGGCAACTCACAGTATGTTTACAAAAAATGTGGACACCAAAGGGGAAGGGGCAGCATGTGTGAAGGTGTGTGATGTTGGGGTCAACAGTGCCTTCCCACTCCATTGTGCCAATGGTTTCCCTATACATTAGCACTGTATGAAAAGGACTTGCATCTCATTGGTTACCACAAGAAGATGCCCCACATTTTAACTGCATTATACTGACATATAGTTATATTAATACAAAGCCTGAAATTAATACTTTTGCCCTAACTTTTCCCAAATAAAACTCAGGGCAATGTGCATTGCCTCCCACAATTTATGCACATAGCACTGTGAGGTAGGAACTTAGGCACATCAGAAAAGCCCTACTGGATTTGTTCAAGGACCCAACTAGTCGAGGACCCAGTTCCCACAGTGGCCAATCACATGCCTCTGGCAAACCTGCAAGCTAGGTTAATGCGAGAGTTAAGCTGTGTGCAGAGGTTGCCTCCACGCAAAAATTAAATACATGGAGAGGAAGCAGGACTGACCCCACCATCACGCTCAAGACTGAAAGGGATGCCTACGTGCCTACAGGTCTATACACAAAGCTGAACCACGTAATTTGGAACCCTGAATGCGGAAGATTCCAGATCATGACTTTCAAGACTTCAAATGGAAGTCTGGGGGTGGGCCAGTGGGGGGAGGAGGAGGAGGCAACATCAAGAGAGACAGCAGACACAGTCTGTTCCTTCTCCATTCCTTTAACATACAACTTCTGAAGGCTTTCGTGTCTGGCTCAAGGTCACCCACTGAGTTTCACTGCTGAGCAGGGAGCTGAATCCAGGTCTTCCCAGTCTGTGTCCAATATTACCGCCCTTATACCCTACTAACTCTCACAATGTGTCAAGAAGGAGATACAAGGAAGCATGATTTATCTTTCATTCCTCAGAAGAGAATACATGGGATTTCAGTTTTCAGAGATGATAGATAGATGATAGATAGATAGATAGATAGATAGATAGATAGAGATTAGATAGATAGATAGATAGATAGATAGATAGATAGATAGATATTCAAGTTTCTCACAAGTATTATTCACAGAAACAAAGTCTCTGCAGCTTCCTGGTCACTCAACATCTCACTCAGGTCCTAGAAAGCCCTGGTGCTTCTCGTGTTTAATTGTATGCTATCAGAACATGAAGTTTCAAGAGAAAAAGAAGAAAGCTCCACCAATTAACTGAAATGGGCAAAAGAGACAGATGATAAGATCAAACTAATGAATACGCTATGCTGTTTGTTTTTCCACAACCATAAAAGGGTAACAAAGCTGATGCCCATCTGGAAGCAGGAAAACGAGAAAAATCAAACGGAATTAAGTAAATCAAGTTGGAGGCTCAGCGTTTCTGAATGGTCAAGAGCATCCAAAATCCAAATGTTTAGCTTACTTGGGAGTCTAACTGTTCTTAGTACAAAAACAATCACATCCTCTGGGCCATTCTCTGCTAGCTGCATACCCAAGGCTATTTTGGGACATTGTTTTCATTGCCATATTTGACCCGCTCTTTTCCATTACATTATGTCAGGTTTCAGCCAGATAATAAGATGAAGGGGGGGTGGGGAACCAAATCAGAAGTCACTGAATGATCAGATTATTCTATCAGGAGCCCTGGCCAAAATCTGTAGATGTAAAACGCTAGATAAAGTGATTGCCTTTCTGCTAGCATTTAGCACAACTTCATTTAAAATACAATAATAATAATAACAACAACAACAACAACAATAATGTAACTTCCCTTGTTTCGGGATTGTTTTTCATCTTGAAAGCAGGGGGAAACTGTCCAGAGACTTGTTTTTATACTTTGTTTAAGGCAGTTGAAAAAAGTTTACAGGCTTTCCTCATTTTCTGCATCACAGGAACAATGTAAGCATGCATAATAGAATGCAAATTTATTACTTGTTGAAGGTCTGTAAATTAATGATCCAATAATGCTAGACAGCTCTGGCAGAGTTTGGAGCACTTTAAATTAGCCTCCAATGTGGCTTTCTCTGGGAGTCCAACTTTCAATAATAGCTACTCGACACTGATTTGGGAACGTATGATTAATAATGTGAGTTTCTTATTTTTGGTACAGGCTTATTCCTATTTTTGGTACATGGTAAGCACTGAATTGGAGAGAAGGGAGATTTCCTCTGAGAGGAACTGAATGTGAACTGTAGCAGTGTGAATGACGATTGTATGAATAGGTAGTGACAAAGGAATGGAGCTAAATCTGATCCAAGGGAATAAAGCTATGCACAACAGCAATTAGGTTTAATCTTTTGTTTTAAAAAAAATCAGGAAAACCTTTGGAAAAGTTCTGCATAAGAATGGGGCCACATCAGATAAGCTGGTTCATTTAAGGTATATGACAAAGGGACACTTAATGCAATTTGCATGCTAAAACGTTGACCTTTTCCAGTTTATTTATTCAGCTGTGAGCATCAAGTGGGAAAGTGAATAAGCTCTGGAAGAATGAGTGTGTTAGCCATGTATTCAATACACATGGTCAAAACATCATAGGAGGAGGAATCCTCCTGGTTCTTGGGCAATGCGTTTCTCCTGAAATGCAAGACTTGCTGCTATCTTTGTAAAAGCTCTTAAAAGGAAAACACACCTCTTTGGATGGATGGAGAGGTAATCCACACTGAAGGAACAACAGCTTCCTTATTCTCCCCACAAACACACACACACACACACACACCCTTCTGGTTGACTCCATCCCATTGATTTTATCCTTTATCCTAGGCACTATTAATAAACTTAACAAATACAGAATATTACACAATAGCCTTCCTAAAAGAGATTCTTAACTTTGTGCAAGTGTCAACTCTACCCTACTTGAATTGGGTAGAATTCTGACTCTTCTGCCAGAAATAGAATTCTCCTTTATAATGAGAAAGTGCATCCAAAAATACTATTGCTCTATTAGTGGAGCTGTCATTGGAAAAATGCATTATACATCCAGAAACTGGAAACAATTTCACTGGAACAGATACATGCATACTGACTTAATTTACCTTTTTGTTACATACTCTCTCTCTCTCTCTCTCTCTCTCTCTCTCTCTCACACACACACACACACACACACACACACAAGTTCCTTTTTATGCACCATACCACCTGCATTTTTACTTATGTGTGCAAAAATATGTTCAGCTAAAGCAGCTACTTGATAGAGAGCAATAAGAAGCAAAGCGATTCCCCCCCCCAAAAAAAGTCAGCTTTGCACTTTGATGTCTAAACTTTAGCATACGTCAGCTTGCTTTTGAAGGATGCAAAACATATACTGAAATCAATCTCTTTGCTTCAAGAAGACACAATGCCCGCCAACATTCATTCCTAATGAAAATGAGAAACAAGGCTACCTATTTGGGATTTTGGCAAACTGTGCAAAGCCGATACTTCAAACGCTAGCAAACTCTTTCCAGAGTAACGAAAGGCTGTTGCATTTCTTTTAAGTCTGTCTCAGTGCAACCCTCATGCATGACTTAGGCAGAAGTAAGTCCCACTGAGTTCAATGGGGCTTACTGCCAGGTAACTGGATATAGGATTGCAGCCTCTGTGAGGATTACCTGATCGTTCTAAAACAGGTCAGTTCACTGTTTGCTAATGATGTCTTACATCTCCCTAGGAAACCTTAATCTAGCCGTTGTTAAACTCTCCAATGGATCCCAGCCTTTTTGAAACTTAAAACATTCCACAGTTTGAATCCTCTTTTTTCTATTTAGCCTTCTGTCTGATTCAAAAGAATCTGCATCGTTCTCTTCTATTCATCCTCCTGTTCTCTTCTACCTGCTACCCTCCGTATTAAAAGCATTTTGTCCACTCACCTCACTCATGATTGTTTGGAAATGACAGTTCACAGATTTTCCACTTCCTCAGAACAAGGCTACTGTTCCAAGTTCTTCACACACTGTTTCTAGCTTTTCTCTTAAAAGCGGCTGCCCACTGGCATCATGGCTCTACTAAACCAATAAGAAGCATTCACCTGCTCAACCAGATTTCAGCAGGCATTTGAGGACACGAGGAGCCACCTAATGGTGAGAACGGGTAAAGGCAGAGTTCTACTTGGAAAAGCCATGTTTATAAAGAGGAAAAGAAAAAAGGTAAAGGTACCCCAGACTGTTAGGTCCAGTCGCAGATGACTCTGGGGTTGTGGCGCCGAGGGAGCTGGCATTTGTCCGCAGACACCTTCCGGGTCATGTGGCCTGCATGACTAAGCTGCTTCTGGTGAACCAGAGCAGTGCATGAAAACACCATTTACCTTCCCACCGGAGCGGTACCTATTTATCTACTTGCACTTTGAGATGCTTTCGAACTGCTAGGTGGGCAGGAGCTGGGACTGAGCAACTGGAGCTCACCCCATCACGGGGATTCGAACTGCCAACCTTCTGATCGGCAAGTCCTAGGCTCAGTGGTTTAGACCACAGCACCACCCATATCAAAGTTCTACTTGGAAAAGCCATGTTTATAAAGAGAAAAAGAAAAGGTCGCCACAAAAGGCAAGGGAAAAGAGGGGGTGGGTGAATGCGCTGCATGACGGACCTCTTCTTCCTGATGGTGACACAAATAAAAATAATAACAAGCCTAAAGGTCATGGCAGTGAATGAGCATCCAGGTCACCAACCAAAAATCACTCCCCTTTTCTTGGTAGAACCTTCATGCCTTTAACCCCTGCAGAAATCCTTCAGGTGATACTCTCCTCTCATCCCCTGCACTTCAAACTGAGAAGACTTCCGCTGTGGCTTGTCTGCAGCTACATTACAGGGGGAGGCAGCCTTGCTGCACTGTTCCTTTTTTAAAAGAGGAGAAGTCTGGTAAGAGTGCACACTCCAGAGCAGTAAAAAAGGGGACCAAACACCTTTCAAAGCACAAAATCAACTAAAAAGATGATATTGGTTAACATGTAAGGTACTTGCAGCCAAACACAGGGATGTGATATCTTCAGACAGCTTTCAGGGCCTACTACTGCACTGCCTGCCCTAGCCTGAAACCCCAGCCATGTTTTTTTATTTTTAAATTTATGTCTAGATTTATATATATTACCACTCATCATCAAAAGATCTAAGGGCAGCTCGCGAGATAAAAAGACAAGATAAAAGCCAATAAATAGTTAAACCAGAAGCAACAAAACAATAGGCCCCCACAAACACCTTTAAAAGGCTGCAGAATATTTAATCAGCCAAAGGTCTGGTTGAAGAGGAATGTTTTTGCCTGGCACCTAAAGATATGTAACGAAGGCGCCAGACAAACCTCCCTGGAGAGAACATTCCACAAACGGGGAGCCCTGCAAAAAAGGCCCTGTTCTCATGTTGCCACCCTCCAGACCTCTCATGGAGAAAGGTCTCAGATGATAAATAGAGAGTCCGGTTGGATCGTGTGGGGAGAGGCGAACCTGAGAGTCTCTGGTCCTAAAATACAGAGGCATAGTGCATAAAGCCCAAATTGCATGTGTTGCCTTTGTGCATTCACCTGCTCATGCCCCTTGGGAGACATTAATGTTCCATGAATGGACACTGGGGTTGGGGCTAGTGCAGTGATGCCAGGGCGGGGCCAAGAAGCTGGGCTTACAGAAAGAACTCACCGAGTCTTGGTCTAGCCTTTCCTCACCATGTTCAGGTGGGCTGTCTGCCTTGGGTTTCTTCCAAGTGCTGCTTGTATTGTTACTAGTTTATAAGGTTTCTTACCTGGCCTTCACCTAAGGTCCCAGGGCGGCTTACAGCTGCAGAATCTACAATGACAAAAAGAAGAGAAAATCAATACAACTGCAGCACACAGAAAACGGCTCCAATGCCACATCCATGCATTTAAATCTCTATTAGACCACATGGAGAGTCGTGGACAATCCCCCACACTGTACCCAGCTAAGGGTGCTGACCTCACAGAGCTACAGTTCCCAGGTCACTCCCTGGCTGTTGAAGTGGTCAAATGTATGGTGTGGATGTGACCCATGTGGAATAGAGGAGTATAAAGAGGTGGGTCCCAGAAAACAAATAGCACAGTGACCCACCTCCAGTCCTCACAAGAGATGTGGGCAACTGCAGGAGTGAGAAGGAGTGGGCTGGGAAAACCTTCATCCCATGAACTTCCTTCCATTCCCCTAAATCTCAGGTGTTGTGTCTGTCCTGAGCCCATTTCTACGCTTTCCATACTCTTCCCCTCTTCCCCACTTTGCCCTCTGGTTCGCCACCCTACCCAAAATCGCTCTATAGTACTGCTACCAGAACAAGGACATTTTGCACTCCAGAGTTTCACTATCTTCCTGGCAAGGTCCTATAATGAGAAACAGATGTTTCGCTGAGAGAGCAGTTTAGAGATTCAGCATCATGGAGGTAATTGGACATGGCCACTATTGACTTGGGTCAAAGTGAAAATGATTTAATAGCTGGAGCAGATATTTCCTCCTTTCACCCCCCGCCCCAGTCACTCTGAACGCTCTTTAAATTAAAACCAACCTAATTTGTGAATCTTAGCATGATGTATCGAGAGCTAAATGTGTAGTCAATCTTTGAGTAATGATGAACTTTTTTTAGAATGTTATCTCACTATGGTGTATGAACAAAATTGACAAGTCTCCTTGCTCTATCAGGAGGAGTGCTTACTTTTACGCGCACACACATGCCATGCTCATTCCTGGCCCTCTGACTGCCCAGTTTGTGCCTGGTTAGTTGCGCTTCTTAGTTGCACACTGCACTGAATGAATGCCAGTTGCTAGAAATCAGAAATGGGAAGGATCCCTGTTGCACTCAGGTCATCCTGCTCATGAAGCTTCCCATCAGCACCTGACTGGCCCCTGTGAGAACAAGGCTCTTATGATGTGAAACCTGGATAGATATGAGAATCCCACCCAAATTTAGAGTCATGTTTGGAGCTAGGGACTGAGTAGAAACTAGTTCCCTAATGCCCATTCCATCATTGCAACAGGATAGTACTATGTTGTCCTCATCATAGCTACTAGTTGTTAAAAAGAGGGGCAGATGTTTCATTGATCCAAACAGGCAAATGCCATTTGAAATCAGAGCCTACCAGCTGAGGCCCTAGCTGGGCTCATGTGTTTGAGACTGCTGTGTATTTGTTGGCCAGGTTCAAGGGAGCATGCAAATACTCATCCAACCCCCTTTCACTGATGTTTTGCAGAAAGTGGGGGAACGTTTTCTAGGAATTGTTTAAAAATTCAGTGGTAATGCTTTGTGTTCTTCCACCTGTACAGCCAGTTGCCCTAGTTACCAGAAAGAGCCAAGGAAAGTTCTGAAATGAGCCCATAATAGCTTTGTGGGGCATTAGCTTATTATTGATAGGAAGGATAATATCTTAGGGCCTGCCGGGGCTTGAAGGGAGTGCTAGTCTTTTTTAATCCAGACTGTTTTCAATAGCATGTTGAGGTCAGTTGGGTCCCTAGTTCCTACAGAGAAAAATATAATGAGATTTGCAGGTTGACATTCTCTTGGCACACATGTATCCTTGTAACCACAGATTATCACTCTCCACAGCTGTAGTACCATATGCAATGAGGATTAAAATACTCAACACATTTGCTAGAGCAAGGATAGCCAATAGAGTTCCTTCAGATATTGGACTCCAGCTCCCATCGGCCCTAGCAAGCACAGTGAATGGTCAGGGGTGATGGGAATTGTAGTCCAACAATGCTGCAGAAATCTAACAAGTGTTGCTTTCTCCATCACTGCATCTCCTCTATAAAAGAGAAGGACACAATATTAAACCAACTGGACCAGATAATGTCTCGGTACTGTCCATGTTTACGAAGAGGAAATTTTGTAACTCCAGTGAGGCTTACTTCCATTAAGTATTGTTACACATGCCTCAGTTTGCTGAGTTGTGAGAACCTAGAGCCACAGTGTGCACCCAAGTTCTGTTTCCTTGGAATGAGGTCTGTTGAAACTTGTGGTGTTTTTGTCATATATAGTTTTATTTACATTGCTAAACTCCAAGAAATGTCCCATATTCACATATGGTTAGAATTGTGCTGTTTTTAATTATTCAGTCTTTTCTCCCTTGCTGTTCCTTATCCCTGGAAGGGACTCATTTCATTTTTCATTTTTATAGTGCCTTTTTGTATTACTGTACTACTCATTGTGGTTTATCATCCAGAGAAATGTCAAAATACACAACCAAAATCACATTTGTTTCCCTACAGCAATTCAAAATCTAATTAAAAGAAAAGTAAGAAATTCAAGAGTGCATTTCACATACTACAAGATAATTACACCCCCCTCAATTACAAGAAATTAAGAATTAGAAACAACCAAAACATCAACATCTATTTAAAAAGACACAATACACAAATTACCAGATGCAAAAAGAACAACTGAGAGGTAGATCACAGCGGAATAGCCATGCCACTCAAAACCATTCGCATTCTGAGAACATGGCACCATTCATTCCATGGATACTAGGCCAAGACGATGTTCAGTTAGCATTGTAGATCTTGGGGCCAGAGCATCCGTTTCCCCAGGCACTCCACCATAGAGGTAAAAGGTAAAAGTAAAGGCCCTCTGGACAGTTAAGTCCAGTCAAAGGTGGCAATGGGGTGTGGTGCTCATCTCACTTTAGGCCAAGGGAGCCGGCATTTGTCCACAGACAGCTTTCTGGGTCATGTGGCCAGCATGACTAAACTGCTTTTGGCCATGACGGAAACCAGAGTGCACAGAAACGCCATTTAGCAGATAAAATAATCTATTTGCACTGGTATTCTTTCGAACTGCTAGATTGGCAGTAGCTGGAACAAAGCAATGGGAGCACATCCCGTTAGGCAGATTCAAACCACTGACCTTCCGATTGGCAAGCCTAAGAGGCTCAGTGGTTTAGACCACAACACCACCTGCCACATAGAACACCTGCAGGATGCCACATATTTCTCTTCCTCCAAATCTGCCTTCAAAAACCACCTCATTGTGAAGCCTTTGGCATAAACCTTTAGTTAGTCATCCA